TAGAACAGAAATAAAATGTCTAATCCCAATAATCTTGTCCGACCCCCTGTGCTTAACGCACCCACACAACCAAGTGTTTCCAATTCCAACTCCAATTCTTTTAATATGGACCAATTGACTAATTTAGTGACAGGACTAGTAAACAACATTATGAGACAAGAAGGACGAAATTTAGTCCAGGCAGCTCTTAACCCCAATGCAAATTTCTCAAATATAACAGACGTAACTATTGACGCAAGTCACTTAAATAATATCACCGAGCTGGATAAAATACCGGACGTAGTTAGATGCCTCCGCGAATTTTCCGGTAATCCAGGAGAGTATAACTCTTGGAAGAAAAGTGTAGATCGCATCCTTCAGATCTACGAACCTCTTAATGGAACGCCGAAATACTACGGCATCCTGAACGTTATAAGGAATAAAGTTGTGGGCAACGCCGACATTGCCCTCGAATCATATAACACTCCATTAGATTGGAAGGCTATTTCAAGATGCCTTACCCTTCATTACGCTGACAAGCGAGATATAGGTACCCTTGAGTACCAAATGACTTCTTTAGTGCAGGGCAATCTCACTATCCAGGAATTCTACCAGCACGTTTATTCCAACCTGTCCCTCATTCTAAATAAACTGGGTTGCATGGAAATGGGTTCAGAATCCATGCATTTACTAACACGGACATATCGGGACAAAGCCCTCGACACCTTCATACGAGGACTAAAAGGTGACCTACCAAGACTTCTTGCTATGAGAGAGCCAGTAGATCTTCCTCAAACCCTCCACCTTTGCCTAAAATTGGAGAACCAAAACTTTCGTTCTTACTACGCGCTGAATAGTAATAGCCAAAATAGGAAGCCCCACGATTTCCGACCACCCCTCCCACCCAAAAAACCAAATAACGAATTTTATCCCCAATTGGCATATATGCCAATACCCCAAATGCACCAAGGAAACTTTTCAAATCATTACCGCCCTCAGGCTCCTATGAACAATTACCATCAGGCTCCCATTGATAATTACCGCAATAACCAACTTTACAGACCACTAAATCAACCTCCCACTAAACCCCAACTCCCTCGCCCAGAACCAATGGACGTCGATAAGTCCCTACACTCAAGAGCTGTTAACTATATGAACAGACCACAGATAAATAACCAAATGAAAAGACCATCAAATTTCTCACAACAAGTTCCCCTTAAACAACAGCGAAACTTCCACATAGAAGCAGGTGAACAACAAGACTACCAACAAGACTATCAGCAGGACCCACAATACGATACAGATCAATACTACCAACACGACTGGACTCCAACTCCTCAGGAGTATGAAGCCGCACTAACAGCTGAAGAAAACGGACAATCAGCTCAGACATACGCTGAAGGAAATTCACTCCCTGAAACCCAGGACCATATCGACATTCATTTTTTAGAATGAACAGTTCTTCGTTGCCATACGTAGAATGCAAAACGAAGAACGGGAAAATCCTTAAAATGCTTATCGATACAGGGTCAAGCAAAAATTATATCCAACCCTGCCATGTCCCAAAAAAAGTACCTAATGACGAACCATTTTTCGCAAACTCTATTGCAGGACAAATCCAAATTACTCATCATACAATTGTCAATCTTTTCGGCAAAAATGCCACAAGCTTAAAATTTTTCATACTTCCCACATTAAAATCCTTTGACGGTATTATAGGAAACGACAGTCTAAAAGAACTTCGTGCTACAATTAACATACATAACGACACCCTGACATTAGGTAATGGCATTATAATTAAAATTAATCAGAGACTTTCCCCTACAGTTAATAAAATAGACGTTAGAACTGACCATATGACAGCCACACAAAAACAACATATAAATTACTTAACCAAAAAGTACCCCCACCTTTTTACGGAACCGGACGAAAAACTTACTTACACAACTACGGTAGTAGGAGAAATCAGGACTTCCTCAGATACCCCAGTTACAACAAATACTTTTCCGTTCTTGACCTGAAGAGTGGCTTCCATCAGATTCCATTAAAGGAGTCCGACATTGAGAAGACAGCCTTTTCAATTAATAACGGGAAATACGAATTTACCAGACTTCCATTCGGTCTAAAGAATGCACCCGCTTTATTTCAGCGAGCTTTAGACGACATTTTGAAGGAACATATCGGTAAAACATGTTATGTCTATATAGACGACATAATAGTGTTTGGCAAAGACGAACAGAGCCACCTCCAAAATGTCGAAAAAATTTTTCACACGCTACAAAAAGCGAATATGAAAGTCCAATTGGACAAGTGTGAATTTTTTCGTAAAGAAGTCGAATTTTTAGGATTCATCATATCCCCGCTAGGTATAAAAACCAATCCCGCCAAAGTAAGTGCAATTCAAAATTTTCCATGTCCAAAAACATTGAAAGACCTTAGATCTTTCCTTGGACTATCAGGCTATTATCGGCGCTTTATCAGGGATTATGCTAAGCTAGCAAAACCTCTGACCTCGCTTTTGAGAGGGGAAGATGGACGAGTGTCCAAAAATGCCTCCAGCAGAAAGCTAGTTGTGTTCGATAGTGATGCCCTAACTGCCTTCAATAATATAAAGACAGCGTTAACTTCAGAAGAAGTAATTTTATCTTACCCCAATTTCAAAGAGGAATTTCACCTTACGACAGACGCATCAAACTACGCTCTAGGTGCTGTCCTTGAGCAATCAGGAAAACCCATTACCTTCATATCCCGCTCACTCAATAAGACAGAAGAAAGTTATGCCGCGAACGAAAAGGAAATGTTGGCAATAATTTGGGCCCTTACTTCACTGAGGAACTATTTATACGGATCCGCTAAAGTCGTAATTTTCACAGATCACCAACCGCTCACCTTTGCATTAAGCAATAAAAACCATAATGGGAAAATGAAAAGGTGGAAGTGCATCCTCGAAGAATATAACTACGAGATGAAGTATAAACCCGGAAAAACCAACGTCGTAGCAGACGCACTTTCGAGACCCCCACAAACTGACATTAATACTCTTACAGTTACAGACCATAGCGACGAAAGCTCCTCACACCTCCTTATTCCGGCCACCGAAGCCCCCATAAACGCTTTTAAAAACCAACTCTTCTTAATGATTGGCAACGAAGATAGCTACTCATTCCAGTTACCATTTCCAAGTTTCCACAGGCATACTGTTACAAAACCGAATTACTCTAACCAGGACATCATAGACATATTTAAACGCTACCTCGACCCTGCACTCGTCAACGGACTTTATACCACAGAAAGACTGATGGGAAAAATCCAAGAAATATTCCCACTCCATTTTAGCAATATAAAAATTCGCTACACACAAACTCTCCTTCAGGATATCACATCAGAAACCGAACAAGAACAAATAATCATACAAGAGCATCAGCGAGCTCATAGGAATAGCCGCGAAAACAAAACCCAAATTCTACGAAAATTCTATTTCCCAAGCATGCACGCAAAAATCGAAAAAGTTGTTAAACAGTGCTCAACTTGTAGTGCACATAAATACGATAGGCATCCAACCAAACCACAAATTCAACCGACCCCCATTCCACAGTCCCCAGGTGAAATCGTCCATGTCGACATATATTCCACCGAAAAAAAATTAATTCTTACCGCCATCGACAAATTCTCTAAATATGCCCAGGTGAAAGTAATACCTTCCAGGGCAATAGAACATATCAAAGACCAAATTAGAGAATTAATGATAGCGTTCGGAATCCCCAAACTTGTGATAATCGACAACGAAAAATCTCTTAACTCCGCTTCAATATCATCCCTACTCAGAGACCAAATGTCAATTAACATTTATACCACACCACCCTACAGTAGCACCAGCAATGGGCAAATAGAAAGATTCCTTAGTACACTTTCCGAAATAATGAGATGTCTAAAAGCAACTTCCGTAGGAATAACGTTTGAAGAATTACTATTCAAATCAGTTCAAGAATACAATTCCTCAATACACTCAACGACGAAAAACAAACCAATAGACACATTTTTCGGTAATAGAATCCATAGCGACCCCCAACAGTTAGAACAACAAAGACAAGAAAACATAGCACTACTTAAGAAAAAACAAGAACTTGACCTCTCGTACCACAACAAAAATAGACCTCAAAATAAGGACTTCTCACCAGAAGAAATTATTTACGTTAAAATCAATAAAAGACTAGGTTCCAAATTGACTCCAAAGTATAAAAAGGAGAAAGTTTCGGAAAACCACAGGACAACAGTTAAGACAACATCAGGACGAATAGTTCACAAATCCCTAATAAAAACTTAATTAGTTTTCAGATAAAATGGACCACTACAAACTCTTCATTCTCCTTATTACGATCTCTACTTCTTCATCGGCCATACAAATTCTTGACTATAGTAAATCTCAATTAGTAACAATAGACAATGGACAAGCGAAAATACAGGACGGAACATTCAGACTTATTCATCTCATCGACCTAGGAAAATACGAACAATTTCTGACGGAAACCTACGACGAAATAACTGGCCAAATCCCTAAAGACAACCTTCTATATCCCGTCCTAAAACATGAAACAATCCAAACGTTCGAAATCCTTAATACCCTAAAACCTATTAATGACATTAGAAGAAAAAGATCAATTGATATATTAGGAACGGCATGGAAATTTATAGCCGGATCTCCTGATCACGAAGACTTAAATACAATAACTAATAATTTGAATAATTTAAATGAAAACAATAACAACCAAGTAGTAATAAACAATGTATTTGAAAAACGTATAAATAATATAACTGGTATGGTAAATAAGATGTTGAACACCATCAGAAAAGATGGTAGTATTGTAATGGAAACTATAGTAAATTTGCAAAACAAAATTAGATTAATAAAAGAAGAACTAATTAATATAGAATACGCCATTCAATGGGCAAAGAATGATATAATTAACTCTGTATTATTAAGTAAGGAAGAAATCGAATTTTCAATTAGCAAACTAAAAAAGGAAAAAGTTCCATTTACAAGTGCCGAAGATGCACTAAGATTAGCAAAAATAAACATTTTTAGTAAAGATATGAAAATCATTTATATTATTAAAATACCCCTAACATTAAGTGAAACATTCAAAAGAATAATTGTAAGACCCGTTAAGAAAATGAACAATATTATAATTGAAACAAAATACAAAGAAATTCTAAAAGGAAAAGATAAATTATATGGTATCAAAAATAAATGTGAAACTTACAATGATTTAATGATTTGCAAAGAAGCAGATGTCATAGATATTAGTAATGATTTATGTATATCTAGAATAATAAATAGCTTAAATTCTACGTGTAATACCACCAATGACCACCACATACCAACAATAGAAAAAATAAATAAAGGCATAATTCTACTCAATAAATTCAGCGGTAAAATAGAAGCCGATAAAATGGCACAGGAGATAAACGGGACCCATGTTGTAATATTTTACAACACAACCATTAGAATCAACAATAAAGTATATAGTAATATAGAAGTAATGCCAATTAAATCTATTCCAGCAATATTGCAGCCAACTCCATTAGAGAAGGACCATATCGAGATACTTTCGCTCGAGTCTCTAAAGGACTTACATATAAACAACACACATAAAATAAATTCTCTCAAAAAGGCAACACTATCCATCGGAGGCCGCTGTGGTGTAGTGGTAAGCAGTGCGCGCTTCCACTCCGCAACGCCTGGGTTCAAGCCCTGGTCAAAAGCAACATCGCAAAAAATATAGGCAATGGCAAACCTCCGAGTGTATTTCCGCCATGAAAGACAGCTTCTCATAAAAACACAATCGCCGTTCGGAGTCGGCGTAAAACTGTAGGTCCCTCCGCTTTGTGTGAAAACAGCAAGGCGCACGCCACAAATCGGAGGAGAAGCTCGGCCAAACACTAACATATGTGTAAGCGCCAATCTATATCCATCGGAGGCTTAATATCCATAACATCCGTGATAACAATCGCACTTTTCATTTTGCTAAAGAAAAGATCAATAAAGATACAATACATCGAGAAGGAAGTATTGAAGCCCAAAACAGGTAGCCCGCCACAAGAAAGTAATGACATTCCAACATACGTAAAATTCAACGACTTACCCTTCTATTAATGATTGAGGACAATCATACTTAAGAGGGGAGGAGTTAACACCACACCTTACAATACCTCGAATTGGACAATAACCCCAT